CTTACAGTTACTTTAGGCTTTAGTTTACTTTAGTTTTAGCTTTAGACCCGGACTTTTGCAGCACTGGTCCTGTGCCGCCGGGGGAGGGAGCCGAAAGGCCCCCGCCCTTGGATCCACTTATGTTTCACTGCGCCTCTTAAACTATGCATTTAACATCCTTTCCAGTTACGCTGACCAGTGCTTCGTTCCTGTTGGTCAGTCCACTGACCATCCGGGCATTTGTTCCGTCTCCTGAAAGGATTACCATTAGCTCAGTGGTTTTTTTTGACAGAAGCACTTCTCAGAGCCCAAGCAATGCCGAGATTTCCTTGATCTGCATTGGATATCACCACCACATAACTGGATAATTAAGCTGCTATGGGCGAGAGCAGTCTTGCGGCGCTTCGTGCATCGTTTCGGGGAAATTTCGGGTAAAATCGAATCAGAACATGGGATGTGAGTGCTGATAAGCGATTGTGGCGGGGTTGGAGGGAAAGAGGGGGAGGGGTGGGGTACTAGTTAGTTGTTGGGGGGAATCGCGGGATTATCGGGGTCCAATTCTAGCAGATGTCTTCGGCCTGATATTTCAAACTACTGGTGTTCCCCAGCTGATTCCCGAAGAAATGTTTCTATCTTATCGAGGAAATTTGGGTAAAATTTTTGTATCAGTAACTGGGATGAGGGTGCTCGGTAAGCCTTTGTGGTTGGATTCGGGGAACGACGGGGACGGGGTATTTAAGGGTTATCAGGTAAAATCGATGGATGAACGGGGTTTAATTTTAGCAGTTTTCTTCGACCTAAAAGTTCAGGCGTCCCGGTGGTCCCCAGCTGAATTCCGAAGAGACTGGTATCTCGCGTAGGTACCACGCTAGTGACGCAGTTGCTGTTTGTTTGTATACTCTAAGCTGCGCTGCACAACAACTTTGCCCAGCAAAACAACAGTCATTTCATTCCTAACCACATCATTACATCTCACCGAGAGGGGGAACTCGAGCCAAGAGACGGAACATTTGCATATCGCATCAAATCGACAGGCAACTGGACAAGACGAAGGGAATTAGCCATCAGCTTCATTTCCTTGCTGTTAACACGTTTCTTTTGCAATCACTTAGACATGGGAGTGCGTTACTTTTGTAACTTCAACTTCTCATAAAACACATCTAATGGCGTGTGTTTTTAGCGTGGACGATTCCAGGTGACGTGCCTGTGTGTTGCGATGCTCCCGGCGAGGCGGGGGTTGTTTCGGCTTGCCACTCAACTACTCACTTATCAAGGCCCTCACTGGCAGTGTACTGCCCCACTTACTGTTATCCTCACCAGCACATGTAAGTTGGTTCTAAGTCTTTTTTCCCCAGAAAGTGATACTGTATTACTGTTTAGGTACAGTGCCAAACAAACATCCATAGTTTACGTTTTTCAAAAATTTCCAAAACACTTAGGTACCACAAATTTGCCGTTGGATGATAATTATGATAATTACTTAAATACTTAAATTACTTAATACTTGAAATTAATAGACTTAAATGAATACTTAAATACTTAAATTAAGTACTTAAATTACTCATCAACGTTCGACGTCACGTGCCATCGATGCAGCAGCACTGGCAACTTCTCCATTCAATTCACTGTTGCGCTCTCCGAGTCCACTTAGTACCGTACGGGCATAGTACCACTGGGTCTCTCCACCTCTCATTAATGGCCTCCCCAGTGTTCGCTTGGCCATGCGTGGATGCCATTCCATTATCCGCTTCGTGCATCTATTATTATCTGTCATCCATGCCACATGACCAGCCCATCTCTTCTTACTGGTGTACACTACTTCAGCAATGTCTTTTTCACGCCAAATCTGATGGCTCGAAGCATTTCATTTGAAATGTTCTGCAGCCTGTTGATGCCCAAAATTTCAGCTTTCTAGATTTTCTAGTTCCCAAGTTAGCGATTTCTCAGCCAGAACTTTGAGGCGCTCGTACGCGGAGCCTAGACGTACTTGAGGATTGGTGCCGCGGTCCTGGGGTGGCACTTGGCCGGGGAAGTCACTCCAGCCATCCGCCGCTCCGTTGCTCTTTGAGACACTGCCAATTTCCGTCCTTCAGCAAATATGGTGTTCCACGTCTCACACCCCTGTAACTTGGTTGGTAGAATGGTCGAATTGTAAATTGCTGCTTTTGCAGATGAAATAGTCTTTTTGTCGTAGAATAAGTCACATGCGCATGATTTGTGCATTAAAATCATCAGAAGATAGCTATCTTCCTGTGGTTGCGCGTAGAGATAGTGATCGCATCCGCGCAGACATAATGAGAAATTTTAATTTTTTTTGGTTTTTATGGAAATGCGGAGAAAAAAAAGCCATGCTTAAGAAATGTGTATGTTCGGAAAAAGATGGTGGCGCTCAGCACACATCAAGGAAATCACGAAACAGCTTAGGCCTTACTAAATGTTTCTATCGAAGAAACTGTTATCTAGTGATCAGTCCTGCAGGCGTAGAATCGCCATTAGGCTGAGCAGCGGTCAGACAGGAAATTTTAGTTTTTTCGGTTTTTACTTAAATGCAGAAGAAAAAGCCATGCTTAAGAAACGTTTATGTTTGGAAGAAGATGATGATGCTCAACAAATACACCAAAAATGTCTTGAAAAGACTAAAACCTTACCAGATGTTTCTGTGGGAAAAACTGTTGCCCTGATTTTCCTTTCTGCAGGCATAGAATTTCCATTAGGCTGACCAGCGGTCAGTGCAACACCTTCAGAGAAACTGGGGAAGTTGCCATTTGCGTGGTAGAGAATCATACTCTAAATGGATGGCTTTAGTTAGTTTCGGTAGTTCGGAAATGCAATTCAAAAACGCTTAAAGACTGAGTGAGAGGCGTGCATAGAAAGGAGGTACAGAAATTTTTCCGTATGTATATCCTTCATGGCGCACTTTCACTTTCATTGGGAAACTAACCAGGACAAAATATGCCTCTGGGGGTCCAGGAAGGGAAGGTTTGAAGGGGAGGAAATGGTTCTTTCACCCCTTCCCTTCCCAGCGACACAGGCACCAGTGCTGCAAAAGTCCGGGTCTAAAGCTAAAACGGAATTGAAATAAAGCTTAAAGTAACTTCGAACTAAAGTAACCCTAAGTAGCAGTATTGCAACTCTTTTCCTAGCTTTTTCATAGTTCCAGGGCAGGAGGGGACTCTCCTTCCCATCCCTCGTTTCCCCTCCTCCCTCCCCCGCTTCTCCCCACTCCCAGGAACCCCATTTTCCCCCAGCTGCCGTCGCCTTTCTTCTCGCCGAGAAGACCGTCTTGGATCTGCCTATGAATGTACTTGTCAAAACTCTCAGGAATCCTGAACTTTTGCGGATAAAGCAAGTGGATGGTCATTTCTTTCACTTCGAAATCAAACCCTCAATGCAAAACATGGCTTATTGTAGGCATCCTAAATCAAATATTCTGGGAATTTTAGCTTTCTTAGATTAATGATGCTATGTTGAATGACGATGCAGGAAACTTC